TGGGGATGGAGGCTGGGCTCGACTTCAGCACGTGACCTTTTCTCTCCCCAATTCACTTTTTTCCCCCCACTGTGTGCCAGGCTTCCTTCCTTCTGCCTTCATCCTCATGCTTTCCATCTGTCCTTCCTCACAAATTCACATATCTTTTCTTCCCAAATTTTGGCTGAGCTTCCCTGTCTTTGTGCTGGGGGCTTTGGAAAGCCTCATGCCAACACCTGGCCAGGGCGAAACCTTGACCACGTGCAGGTACCTGCAAGAACCTGCAGCATTTTATTTTTTTTTAAATATTGTTGGCCAGAGGATGGGCTCCAGGCGTGTGTATCTTCCAGATATCCCAGGGCTTTTCCTAGGGCTCTGTGTGTGCTCTGAAAGCAGGTTGTGGGAGAAAGGCAGCTCCATGTGCTCTATTAAATGAGTGTTGTTTCTCACGCCTCAAATTGAGCAAAAATGCTGGTAGTAAAAAAAAAAAAAGTACAATCACAAAGAAATCTTTCTTGGTTATTCAATTTGTGCAATATCTTATTAGAGGGAAAGAAAGGACTGTTATCTGCCTTGTAAAGGTTAATATAATAATAAGCAGATACTGACTTCTATTGAGACGAACATGATGATTTATTGACCCGAGAGGTAAATATTCAGTGAAGCAAAGCCAGGGTCAATGCTCACCACGAGGGGAATAAATTCTGGTGTTTTCTGCAATGGGGAGACCGGTCACCACTAAACATCATCTGCTTTGGTGTTGCCTACTGCCACTTCAGTGAGACAGCTAAATGTGGTAGATACCAACAGGTATTTCACCTTGTTTTTTAGAGAAAATGCCAGTTTAATAATGTTTCCTTTGGATATTTTCGTCCTTTGAAATACTTTATGAGGCTTTTAAAAGTACTTTCTTATAAACCAAGCAAACAAACAATAAAAGCAGCTCCCAAGGGTAACTAGTTTTGGATTGCCAGATGTATTTCTTGACTAACTGATAGAATTTTATTGTACTTTATTTTGCTTTATTAGAAAAACACTCAGTTTCCAATTTCCAAGCCTTCCAGCCTGACCAGAGGTTTTCCTGCACAAGTGTTCCTTTGGATTGCAAACCCCTTTTTCATGTATGAAATGCCTCAACACAGAAATGTCAAGCAGCTCTCGTAGTTCTCATGGAGAAAGGTGGGCTTGGAAGGCTGGCACTTGCTGCAGGGAGCTGCCTCCCTGGACCACAGGGATGCTGTAGGATTCTTTGGGAGAAGGGAGGTACAGAGGGTTTGTGTGTAGGGATAACTGGTGCCTGTTTGGGTTGTGATGGGTATCACTCTTCTCCAAGCAGTGGCAGATGTGTTCTCCGCTCTTCCAGGCAGTGTGCTGGCAATCAGGGATGTTTGCTGGCTGGTTGCTCCCAGAACGTGGTCCTGTGAGATGAGATCTGTCAGCTGCTCTCACCTGGGTGAGAAACGTAAATTCCTGTCTTGTAACGTGCCAAGGGCTTGTCTGGCTGGGGCTGGGAGGAACTGTAAATACACTTGGTGGGAGGAGGGAGAGGAATTGCACTTCTCCAACTTGAGCAAAGTGACATGAAGAAGGATATTATTTTAGAAAGTTTATCTCTTTTGTATCTATGGTGACAAGATCTTTATCGGGGTAAGACAGACTCACGGGCTGTCTGCTCCTTGTTATCTCAGTGTAGGATGACAGTATAAGTATCACGTCTAGAAATGTTATCTATCCTTTATTATTTCACTTGTGAGGGGCTAACAGGAGTGTTATCAGGGTGTTTACAATCAAAACACGTGCAGCTCAAGTGATAAAAGGGAAAACAGACATCTGATCTCCAAGGATATGAAGACAATGCAGCCTTGAGCAGGAGGAGATGGATCCTATTTTTGAAAATGGTTTGGCAGGCTGGGAATGGACAAACAAGTTCAGATCATAAGCTTGAGAGATGGGTTTAGGGGAGAGACACACACACAGGCATGCAGAAAATGAAAAGGTGATCATATCAACAGCAATCTCAGCTAAAAGAGAAATATTTCCCAATAAATTTTTTATGATTTTTTTTTTCTTTTGTTTCTCTCTTCTCCCTTCGAGAGGGTGATACGGAAAGCTGTCAGGACCAGCAAGTGGAGTAGAGTTGCTTCAAGTCAGTCAGGATCTGAGAAAGCTCAACCAGGCTTGGAGGGTGGAGAGCAGCCAAGGTCACTTATCAGGGAGTTCATTGAGATTAATTCCTTATCTTGCCTGGGTCAGTGCTGGGTTAATTTAGGGAGTGCAGAGACAGAGGGTTAGTGGTGACCATAAACCTTATCCATGATCTCCTTAGGGACAGAGAAGCTCAGTCCCTAGAGGACTTTTAGAAATCTGACCCCTGGGATGCTTGAGCTGCTGGTAATTGAGAGGAGTCCAAAGCCGTCCTGGACAGCAGATCCTCACTGACCCACAGCTCGAGCAATCCAGGTGCCAAATGGTGTGGGGTTCTTTATCTAACATGAATAAGCCTCATTAGTTGAAGATGGGGTTGTGCAGCACTCCATCTAAATCCAGCTCTTGCTCCCAGAAGTGTTTGTGCTCTTGCCTGGTTTGCTCTTACTGTAGAGGATGTGGCAGGAACACCTCATATCTTTATTCCACTCTTGATATCAGTGCTCTCCAAGCGAAGCTCTGTGGCTTCTATTCCACAAAATAACATGATTTTCCATCATCTTTCCTCACTTGTTTGTCCCACGATGAGGTGGGACACAGAAGCTTATGGCCTCATATGGAAAGCAAGCAGCAAGATCTCTCAAGGAGACCCAAACTGGAGCAGAAATTTTGGTGCCAAGTGTCCCTCTCTCCCTTGTGAAGGAGATGGAGAGGGTGGAGGGTGTCTCTGTGAGATGTAGATGAGGGCTAGGTGCTGGGAGGGACCTTGGAGGATGAAATTGACTCCTGGTGCCAACCCTGTCTCTGGGTATCTGTGATAGTTTGGACCTGGCTCCCTGTCAAATGCCCGAAAGTCACGACAGCAGCCCCCTTCCCCCCTCCCTTCTCCTCTTAGGGCAAAGAAAAAAAACTATAAAAAATTAAAGAACCCCAAGTCAAGCTACTTATATAAAAAATATATATATTTATGTAAATTACAGTTATATACAGTTAAGATGCTATATACATAGTAAAAGGGGATCCACCCCCCGAAGGGATAGGGAAAGGGGAAAAAAGGGATGAAAGGGAACAAAAGGGACACCGAACAGGTATACTTGATCAAACTCAAGAACTATACTAGTAACTAACAAAACAGATCTCACCACTTCCCTTAGAAAAGCAGGATTGGCAGACACAGCCAGCACTCTCCGAAACCCCCACGTGGCAGGCCAGTGGTCGCTGCAGGCCTCAGCTTTAGATAAGCGAGACCAGCACAAGGACCTACAGTTCCCGACCCTCGCTGGAAGAGAAGAGAGCGAGGTCTCTAATCTCCAACTTATTTATACTCTGGTTTACGTAAAAATCGTATGGAATACTGGATACTTGGCCACTTCCTTGGTTACAGACTGGTCACCAGGAAGGCCTAGATCAAAACCATCACAGCATCTGTCTCTGGGCTGGCAGAAAACGGGAACTAAAGACCTGCTCTAGGTAACGGGGAGGGAACAAACACAGACTTCTTGTGAGCAGCTTAATAATTCTGCATTGGCCTGTCTGCCGAACTCCATGTTCATCCTGCTTTGAGGATTAGCCTCCTTTCAACCTGTCAAATGCTTCTGCCATCACTCTAATGGCTGTGAGCTCCTGGGAACCCTTCCTTCACCTGGGGGAACCTGCAGTGACTCCTCTGTCTTGTTTAGAAGAAATAATCTCTGCTTGTGTTATGTGGTGTTTTGTTGTTGTTGTGGGTTTTTTTTTTGTTGTTTGTTTTGTTTTGGTTTTTTTTGTGTGAAGCCCCAGTTTTGGAGGGCCAGAGGGGCCATTTTGTGCAGTAATGGATGACCCACTGCTCGTCTCCTGCCCTTCATCTCTCACACCTTTAATTGCACTTGTGTGTCTGAAGCGTGTGGAATTCATTATCCAGCAAACAACGTCCTCTGCAATATCAGCCTTAATTAACTGCCCCCCTCTGTATTTTCTTGCTCTTATCCTCTCCAAATCTCCAGGCTGACACAAGCTGAGGGCCCCCCACATGCATCAGTGCCAGCTAGTGAGCCATGACCAGATAAGAAGAAATGGAATTCCTTATCTCTTTTTTTTATAAACACATACACATGCACACACAAACCTGGAAAAGGTCAAGGTTACTGGGAAGGAAGAAGGCCCTTCAAGACAACAAAACCCCTTCTCTTTTTAAGTCTCCATAGCAACTGGATGGAGCATCATGGGATGTTGAGATGAGAGAGGACTATTCTTTCCCTACAACACTCTTTCCACTTCATTAGACTCTTTATCAACTATCTGTGCACTGGGCTGAGTGTCTGTTTTTGTGTTGGGGAGCAGTGCAGAGGACTCAAAAGTACGCTGACCTTTTCAGTGGGACTTTGGGAGTTCCTTGTGGGAGTTGCATCCTCTTCCCTTGCCTTCCTCCCCCACAGCCCCCTTGTCTCCAGTTCACATGACCTTCTAATCAAAACCCCTGTGGCTGGTGAGGTATGAAGGGTTTCTTTAAAAGGAGAAAGGAGAAGGGGGAAAAAAGAAGAGAAGATTATGAGAATGTCCTTCAGTGGCACTGGAGGTGTCAAGACCCAGCTGTCAGAGCTGTGCATCTGCAGGGAAGATTAATGAGTCTGCTTAGAGGAAATCCAAATAAAACAGAGCAGAATAAATACCAAGTGACTGTGTGGGTGATGAGGGGAAGGGTGAGGAAGGAGCAAGAGAGTGTGACAGGGCACAAGTTGATATTCCTCAATCTTGTAAGTGTTTGATTCCCTGTGGAAGAGTCAGTTAGAACAGGGAAGATCTTTGGATTTAGTCCTGTGGGCTTGCAGTGACATGGCTGAGTGTGTGGGTCTGTGAGTGTGGTTATAAAAGTGCTGGTTGGACTGAGGCACAAACACTGTGTATTTTTATTTTAACTTCCATGGGTAAGAATTCACTGTGGAGGAGAATTTTGTGTTAAGCTTCTCAACACTTGGCCTGCATTGTCCTCCAGGTGTCTTGAGCTGCTTTGCAAATGGAATCAATGGTTGTTCTTAGGAAACATCAGTGCCTGTTTTGTGTTGGGCAATGGTTGTAATGTACCTTGGAGATAGGCTGGGCTCTGTGGGGGTTAGGAACAGATTTAAGCCTTGCTGTGGATGGTGGGATTGCACTTACTTGCACTGCAGAAGAAACTGGACCTTGGACCTGGCCTTCCACCGAGAACCAGGACACTCTTAGAACCTTCAGCTTCTGGATCCTCTGGATTTTCACTTCCAGGGAGCCATTATGTGACAGTTTGCAGCTTATTTTGAGAAGCCTTCACACCACAAGTACCCAGCTGAGCATCTTATGGGCTGAAACTCCCTGTGTTTGGTACTGCATGGATCAGACAAGGAGAGGGGCCTGTTAGTGTGGATGGCTGATGAGGCCAGTCATTTAAACAAGTGTTTGTAAAGAGTGTTAAGGCTTTTAGGCTGTGTGCCTCTGAGCTGTAAGATTGACATGAGTGTTTGAGAGAGGAAAACCATCTAAAAAAAAAACCAAACCTTTGTACTTCCAGTAGGAGTCAGGCTATGAACACCCCAGTCCTGCTGCCTCAATCCTCACAGGAGTCATTCTGAAGGGGGAAATCCCATTAAGTCATAATAGGGCTCTTAAGTAGTTCCCTCAGATGAATTTGTGGCACTCTGCAAGTCCCATAATTCCCAATATACAGATGAAGAAGCTGAGGTTAAGTGACTTAGCCAAGGTCATGTAGCAAATCAATAACCACTCCAGCACCCCTCTAGTTGCCTCCATGTGTCTCCGGCTTCAGTGAGGACACTGCCAGCACCTGCCAAAGGGAAATTATCATCCCCACCACGGCCCAGCCATGGAAACTCAGGGTTTGAAATGTTGAATCACGTGGCTAAACAGGTACATAAAAAAGCTGGTGGTGTTAAGAAACGGGGGTTTCTGAGTTCAATCTAAGCTTGCTTCCCACGAGTGGCTGTTCCCAAGGAAAAGGGTTGTTTGTCCTGGGATCAGGCAGACTGTAATTCTGGGACTCGTAGGATGCTTATTTTAGTTCATTTATGTGTTGTCTTTATCATAGAGTCAGAGAATGGTTTGGGTTGAAGGGGACTTTAAATCTGATCTGATTCCACCCCCTGCCATGGGCAGGGACACCTTTCACTAGCCCAGGTTGCCCCAAGCCCCGTCCAACCTGGCCTTGGGATGGGGCAGCCACAGCTTCTCTGGGCAACCTGGACCAGGGCCTCACCACCCTCACAGGGAACAATTTCTTCCCAATATCCTATCTAAATCTATCCTCTGTTAAGTTTAAGGCTATTCTCCCCTTATCTCTTGTTCCTCTTCCCACCACAGCTCTCTGGGGTCAGAGGGGAATGGGAGATGCTGGATGTAGACATCTGGTATTGCCCAAGAGGGCTGTTTCTCCTTATGACAGTGCCTTGCTCCCCTGTTCTTTTCTCGCAGCTTTTCTAGAGCTAATTCCCAGCTCTTTGAATTGCTGGTCCTGCTCTTGCAGTTGCAGTGGCCGGTGCTTGATAATCTGGGTCCGTTTCCTTTCCCAGGAAAACAGGACAAAAGCATAGAGAATGAACACAACCTGTGTGTTGGGATCAACCCACTGTCCTTGGCTTTGCTGTGTTCCCTGTAGTGCCTCCTGCAGCCCTGTGGGATGGTGCTCCAGGAGGCTGGAAAGGAGAGGTCAATGATAAGTTGTTCTCCATGTCAGGCTCCTTCCAACTTTGCTGCGAGGTCTCAGAAGGACAGCATGTATTTCATGTATGCCCCTCTCTGCTTCCTGATCAGCTTTTCTGCATGTGTTTGGCACTTGCCAGACCTCTGGCATCCCTACTGCTGTCCAGCTTAACATGCAGGAAAGGAGCTTTTGGGAATTCTGCAGGACAGCAACTCTGCAGGTAGAAGGGTGAGGATGAAGATCAGCCTCCTGCACTATCTCCCACAGCTTTATGACTTTCCAGCTCCTCCAGAAATGCCCTGACCTAATCCAAGAGCCCCTCTGTGTCCTATCCCCGGTGCTGTGCCTGCATTGCAAGCACTAAGCTCCTGCTCAGCCTTTCCCAGCAGCAGGGAGGGCAGGGTGGACTGCCACTGCTGTCTCCCATCTTGCTGGGGTGATGGATGGCAGCTCCTGCAGAGGAGCGCTTGGTATTGGATAGCTCCTGGAGGATTTCCAACCTGGCTTTGAAGTTGGCCAAGTGTTAAACTTGTTTTGATGGTTTTTATGTATTGGAGCAGTTTTCTGTGTTTATTTTGGGGTGATATCCCAGCACCCCAGCTGCTGCTGGAAGGATGCTCTGGGAGGGCACCATCCCTGAAAACAACCCTCCCTTCAGCAGTGCATGGCAAAGCTCCCGTGTTTCACATTCAGTGGGAGGCACAGGAGATATTTTGGACTGCAAACTGTGGCTTTAAAAAAACCCACTCAGCAGTGATTTGAGGTTTTCTTCTCGAAGCCTTACTGACTTTGAATATATACTGCCTCTGTTTTTGTGAGCAGGCTCTCCAGCAAGACGGACCTGTTCCAGGGATTGTTGTGCCTCAGGTATCAGCTGCTCCTTTTGTAGATGGGATGACTTAGGCCCCCTGTTCCCTGCCGTCCTCTGGTTTGATTTCACCTTCCTTCACATCGTGGCATTTCAGAGAAAGCTCCCTGTTTGGTAGAGCAGCTGTGCTGTCTTAATTCAGCTGTAATGTGTGTTTGTCCAGGTGCTGCCGGTGGGGCACAGCAGCACTAGGAAGATGTTTTATGAGATCCTTTCCAAGTCCTACTAATCTCTGAGTCTCTCTAGGATTTGTGGATATCAGCTGTGCTGCTTTTGCTTCGTGGGATGGGGTTGGAACCTGAAGATGGGAAATCAGTTGCGTGTGATCCCTTATCTGCCTCGTCTCACTGTTACCTCTCCCCTCCCGGCTGTTTCCAGCAGCCAAAGAGGGGTTAGTCGTTGTATTCCAGACCTTAAACCATGTTGGGGGAGTTCGAACATAGCTGAGCAGCTTCAGAGAGGGTCCTACCTGCTTGTTTGTGGAGCTTGCTGGTGGCACTGGAGACCTTCCCCTGCAGCCTGGATCCCAGGGAACGTTCCCACTCCTGCACCACCGAGTGCCAGCATCGAGATTAAGGTAAGGCTGCCACTTCCCTGGGTCCAAAGGGTGTGTTTTGTGTGTGTCCTGCTGCCAGAGCTAGAGTTTGCTGCTTCCTTTTGCTTTTGCTGAGGGAATTAGTGTCTCCTCAGTCACTTGTATTTGGATGTGCACTCTCTGAAGGAGAGAATTCCCTCAGTGGCATGTAAATGTTTGATTTTATTGTGAGGATTCTCTTCCTTGCACCTTCCCCTGTGATGGGAACGTTTCTGCCTCAGAAATGCCTATTGCTCTCAGGATGCTTTTCTTTTTATGCAGTGCATTCCCAGGATATATTGCTGTTGGAATATATTGCTGTATCCCCCTCCTCTCCCCCAGTCCTGGTTGCTGTGTGCTTGAGAGCCATCCCATTCCCTCAAACACTGTTTGATATTTTCTCCTGCAGAGATGGTGTGGGGATTGTGGAGGTCACTCTCCCTCTCCGTGTCTCGTTGTGTGTGTGCTGTATATATTCATCTCCTGCAGCTTCTGCACCACAGCCTCGTGGATGAAGTTGTATTTTAGGCTCACACAACTTCTGTGCTGACTGTACCACTTAGTATTTCAGTCTGTGCTTTCCCTTGGCTTTCAGCTCAGAACTCACATTGTCTTCGTGCTGTTGTGACTGGCGGAGTTATTTTAATTTGTCTCTATTTTGTCTCAGCTTTGTTTCCTCCCTCACAGAGCATCGGGGAGGTCTTTGCTGTCCAGCCCATTCACTGCTGTTATGCGTCACCAGCCCTCTGCCTGCTTGTTTGTGAGCTGCTGGGTTCATAAAACTCAGCCTGGAGAGGGATGCAAATCATATCCTTGGGCCGTCCTGATCCGTGTTCTGAGCACATGTGCACTGCTGTGTTGGCCCAGCAGTTCTTGCCCCTTTGTTAGGCTGCTTTTAGCAAAGCTCTTAGTGTTTAGGGTAATGCAGAGGGGTTTTCTCCTTCCTCAGTTGTTTCACATGAGTCTCCACTCAGGGAATTTCCTGCTGCTTTTTGCTTAATTGTGTTTGTTTCAGTTGTTCCCAAAGGCCACCCAGGAGTTGGACGTCATGGAGCTGGACACGCACAGGGGGAGGGAATGGATGTGACCCAGACAAATGCGACCCCCAAAACTGGGAAAGCCCCCCTGGCAACTCTGACTCAGCCTTTGAGATGCCCAAAGGCTCAGGACAACAGGAGGGAGACCTTCTAGATCAGGAGCAAAGCAGGCAAGTTGTATTTTCCCCTTCAGCACAGAGAGCTCATGGCAGGTTTGGAGCAGTTCCTGCCTCTTATTTCTCCCTTTGGATGTGGGATCATGTCTTTGGTGTCACACAGGACCCTCAAGTACTTCCCCTGAGCTGTTGGCTAAGTCAGCTTTGCCCACTGCAGGCCCCTGCAGCTCAGACTCAGAAGCAGATCCTGTATCCTGGGGATATTTTCTGGGAGTCCCCTTTGAACTTTTGCACCTTTCGTGGCTGTAACACACAAAGCAAAGGGTCCCTCTTTGCAGGTTTGTTCCCTGCAGTGGCTCATTGTGCTGCTCAGCAGCATGAAGGTGCATTTAACATCATGTCTGCAGGGGCAGGGAGGGGCACCTTTAGCATTTGAGGTTCGTATGGGTCAGAAATGGCTTTGTGGAGCCTATCCAGGGTTTCAGTGTGTTTTCCTCAGCTGCTGTGACGTGCTGTGTTGCTCTTGCAGCCTTTCCCCATCTCTTCAGTAGCGTGTTGCTGCCGCTTTGTTCTGTCCTTTATCCAGCCCCTCTGGTAGTTTCCCGGTTTTCCCACAGTGAGTTAAAGAGCCTCCTATTGTTGGGCACAACCCCTTCCATTGCCACCTGCTCAGGGACAGGGGTTGTTGTTCAGCCCAAACTGTTTGTTTGGGTTTTCTTTCTTGCCACATTCACACCTTTCCACTTTCATGTACCTGCAGGAGCCGACTTGCTTCTGACACTGAGTTCAGTCTCCAAACATAAAAGAAGAGAAAGTCAGGACAGAAAGGCATTTAAGCTTTGTTCTTCCTCCACACCTGCTGTTCTCACTCGTCAGGCACTTCCTAAAGTGGAGTTCTCCAAGTCCCTAGTCATTACCCTTTACATAAGCATAATATAGTGCTGCAGCACTTCCTACAGGGAAGCCACCTATTGTAGCAATCTGTAAAACAAAAGCTGGATTGATCCTTCTCCCATTGCTCCCAGAAAAAAAAAAAAAAAGAGCTGCATGCTGTTCCTCAAATGGGGAAGTCTGAAAGCCTTCATCAGAGGGCAGTTCATTTTTACACGACGTTTTTACACTCCAGCAAAACTGAAAGCAAGGCATAATTTGAAGCAGCCACGGTGGCTGTTAGAGCAGAACCACACAAATAAAATGCCTGGGATGATGTAGCTGAACACGTCGCAGTCAGAAAAATGTCAGTGTGCAGGGAACAAGGAAAACGAGATGGATGAATGTGAATTAGCAAGGAGCAGGCTTCCAAGGCAGAAAAATCAAATTGAGAGCATAGATCATTAGATCCAAAAGAAGCAGGTAAGAAGTGCATGAAATTGTACCTTGAACAACAGAACAAGTGCCTCCACCTCCAGGGTGAGTGGATAGACAGGGGAGTCCTGGCTGCCAGTTGAGGCTTTGCCACTGGGTGTTGTTGCCCAGATCACTTTTGAGGTCCTTGTGCATCAGCTTCTGTGTTTGTGAGCCAAAGCAGGGTGCTTTTTATCATCTGCAGATGTAACCGGCTCCAAAAGAGCAAGGAGGTGGTTTCTGGAGGGACTGCCTTGGCCCCTGTCATCTTCCAGGGGTATCACTGATATCTATTGCATGCAGCTAGTCCTTTGCTTATTTTTTCCCCAGCAGGCAAAGTGTGAAATTATTTTGATCCTGTTGAATTTTTTAAAAGTAACTGTGCATGATTATACCCAAAAAACTGAGGTGGAAGAAATGCACTTCACACACAGCAGCTCTTGGCAGATGTGAGAAAGTGTGGCATGGGTTTGGACCAGCCTAGGAATGGCTGAGATGGAGGAATTTGTGTGTTTGAAAAGTCGAGCTCATATTTTTCTTGGACAATCTTTCAGGTCACTCTGTAACACAGAACTGAAGGTCACAGTTCTTAACGGGATTATGAAATGCCCCAGATGCTCAGTGTGATAGTCTAGACAAGGCAGCCCAGGGAGAGATGCTGGAGGAAGTTCCTCTGACAGGTCCAGGCAAGAAAAGCCCTTTGGATGGACACGTCACACATAGAGCCTCCCGTTGGTGCTTCTTCCTGTCCACTCCTGGAGAGCAGAGACTGGTCCCAGTTGAGTCCTGCTTAAGGATAAAACTCATGGTCACAGGGGAATCACTTCATTCAAATCCCCTCTGGCTGATTCCCCCACTTCAGCTGAGGTGGAAATTTCACTGGATCTTACAGAGATATTAATTGAGTGATAAGGGAAGTTCTCCCTTTCAGCAGCAGGTGAAAAGCCCAGCTCCTTGCAGGGGGTGTGAACCAATCCCAAATCTTTGTTTGTGAAGCCTAGCCATGATGATGATGATGATGATAAACCAACACGTACTTTACAGAATATGAAATGGAACCAATTTTTCCTGTAAGAACAATATAATCATAATAATAAAATCATAAAATGGTTTAGGTTGGAAAGGACCTTATAGACCATCCAATCCCAGCCCCTGCCATGGGCAGGGACACCTTCCACTAGCCCAGCTTGTTCCAAGGCCTGTCCAAGCTGGCCTTGGACACTTGCAGGGATCCAAGGGCAGTCACAGCTTCTCTGGGTAACCTGTGCCAGGTTATGTTATAAAACTTTATTAGCGATATGAAATGAAGAAAATGCCCCGTCTATTATCCCAGGTTTGGACACAGAAACACAGCCCAGCTGGTCTGAGCATGGCAATTGAGAGGGCTCTTCTTCTCCCCTTAATGCCTTAATAAATATCCTCTTTATTTTATCAGAGGCTTTATTGTTGCTGATGTTCAGTGTGTCCAGGGATTTCCACTTCACTTGGCAGCCTCCCAGGTTTCAACCTGCTGTCACATCCCTCACAGCCTGTTTGCTGTGGAAGGTGTTACTGTGCTGGTGTGCTTGGCCAGTCTGTGATGTGGCTCCTTGCAGCAGCTCTTGGGAACCTTTGCACACCGCTTTTTTTGTTTGTTTGTTTGTTTTTTTTGTTTTGTTTTGTTTTTTGTTTGGTTTGTTTTGTTTTTCCTTTTTCTTTTCTTAGCTTTGGTTTATCTGAACTGGCTGTTGTAAATGTTAGTTAAAACCTTGTTGAGTGGCTGGTGTTTTACAGCCGTCTGGTTCAGCAGTTTATTTTGGTCTCCAGCGATGTTTATAGATGCATTTCCTCTCATCTCTTCCAGCTTTACATTTGCTTTATGATACTTTGATGCTTGTTTTTGGAAGAGCTTTTCAGTGAATTATCTTGGGAGTTAATGCTGACCTGCTTCCTTGGCTTCAGCAGCTGCTCTGCCCTGGTGCATCCCAAGCCGGACGCTCGTGCTGCAATGAATCCTCTGTCAGCTTTTTGCTGTCAAGATTTTTGGCTATTGCTACATGTCATTCATATTGCAGGCTCTCCTGAGAGTGAAGGGGAACATGAATCTCCCCATGGGCCTACTGGGGAGGTTCCTGAAGGGTGGAAAAGCCCTCAGCCGATGGGATTTGCCCAGGACAGCGCTTGCTATGAACCCATATTCTCTAATTTCTGAGCTGTCATAGGAGACTGCTTCGCCTTTTTCAGGACGATTTAAGAGCATATGCTGTTCAGGATTCCCACTCGAGTGTTATTTATTAGTTTTGTAGTATCTTCCAGGCTGCTTTCTTCAGTGTCAGGTTGATTCCTTGGGGACAAAGGAAACAAAGGGAGGGAAGTGCTCGCAGGAGGGATAGAACAGGAGTGTGACTAATACCTTCTCTCTCTCTCCACAGTGTTTTTTCACAGATCAAAAATCAATTAAGGGCGAATTTCACTGGGAACTCTTTAAACAATGTAATATTTCATTAGAGATTATTGCAGGTTCTTT